TAAAGAAAACAAATGTATAACCTGGAGAAGCACAATAGCAACAGTCAAGCTTTCTTAAATGAAACATTTATGAGTAGGACTCACAGTTATCAGCAATGCAAGCTGACAAGGTCTTGACTATAATGACAGACACCTGACGAGACAACAAGCTTGTATCTGAGGTAGACACGATGCGAAGCAGTGCGACTGTAAGAGTTTCCAAACCGCCGCAGGCAGCAAAACTCTCCTGTACATAAGCTGCAAGAGGTGAACAATTTGAGATTATTAAAAAGTTTTAAACACTGTTAGAAAATAAATGTCATTTCTGTGAAACTGTGTTTTCAGCAGAGAAAACAGTTTTTTTTTTTTACCATTGCTGGAAACTGTCATGGCGATAAAAGAGCATATGGGCTGAAAGGTTTCAGTTGAGGGCACAGAAATCTGTTGAAGCCATGTTTTTACGATGGGAAAGGCTGCCACGCAAACCCGCTGACCTTCCTCTACAAAACAAAACAAAGACATGATGAATTACAGATGATCTTTCTGCTATGTAGGGTTTTGGAGTATTTTATCAGCATGGGAAGGGAGTAAGTTTTAAAGTTCCCCTTAACAGTGGATATTAAAAGTCAGCACCTCACTGTTAACATGATAAGTAAAAAAAAAGAAACAGGTAATTCTGACCTTTTCTCACCTTTAATGAAACAAATACAGAATGCAGTTTATACAAATAAAATGTTTTTTCTAATCAGTCTTCTAAGTGCCAATCTGATGTACCTAAAATAGCTCCAGCTTTTTAAGCCGTATTTATCTGCATCTAACCAGTTTCCAGAGGAGTTACAAAGTAACAAACAATCTCATTGTACAAAGCCATCGATCAGGAAAGGGTTGCTAAAGAAAACTGAGCGTTATATGTATATCATCACATCAAATATCTCGTCCAGTGGACAGATTGTCTTTGGATATTTTTATTTTTTAGTTGGAATCAGTGAGCTGGATGTTCAATTAGACTCGGCGATGTGAAGAGATTTCAGTCCACCTTAATCCACATCATCCAAGCCGAAACCTAAATTATACTGGTGTTAAATCAATAACATTTGGAGCTATTCAAAATTTAATTCAATCTGGAATATTTGGAAGCCTATTTGTATCCGAAGAAGGATGTATGGATGGATGGATGGATGGATGGATGGATGGATGGATGGATGGATGGATGGATGGATGGATGGATGGATGGATGGATGGATGGATGTGTCAAACACACCTGGATTTGTCACTAAATATTTAAAAATGGAGATTTTAATGGAGATGTGGGAAAACATCCAGTTGTTGTTAAACAATTATAGTTCTAAATATTTATGATTCTCAAATGGAAAATGGTTTAAAAGGAAAAAAGCCACAATGAAAGCTGAGCTTCATTCATGTTTAATAATAGAACAGAAAATAATAGAATAGAATAGAAAATCTCTTTATTGTCCCACAATGGTGAAAGGTCACACAAATTTGGACCTTAGAAAAAAGTATAAGAATAACATAATATTGAAGAGTTAAAAAAATTAACAATAAAATACTGTACTGTTAGGTGTTTTAACAATATAAAAGGTGTGCACCTACTTCAAATATTGCTTTAATAACACTAATCACACTTATACTAAAAGGTTTTTGCACTTTTGACGAGCTTTTACCCTTCCAAGATTTTTTCTAAATCTAAAATTTATACATTTGATTAAGGATGAAAGAAGCTTTTCAAACCATCTTAATCACTACACAAAACAAGATCCAGATGATTTTACCATTCTGAGGATTGTTGACACATCCGCAGAGAGCAATGGACACAGAAGCCCAGAGTTGGTAGTTTTGGTTGACATTTCTCAAATTATCCACTGCTGAGAAGGGGAAGGTAGACCTGTAAGGACACAACGGTCACATTAGTATTCATCAAAAAAAAAAAAAAAAAAACACTCTCTTCAGAACATCAGTACAATTCAGTACCTGAAAAGTTCCATCAGAGTTTCCAGACAGCCTGTAGTTTGAGCTAAAGTCTGCCCTGATTCTCCATTAACAAAAACACAATTACATGTCAAACAAAGTGAGCTTAAACTTACCAGAAGAAGCAATTTAACCTAAAGCAAAACACTCATTTAAACTCTAAAGACAATTGTTGTGTATTCATGTTCTTTTGATTCCAGGAGGCAAGAGCTTACTGTTTTGTGAAACCAGAACAAACAGCAAGTAGACAGACACCCTCTTCTGATTCAGTGAGGCGTCTTCTTGAGTCAAGAGTCTGACAATGTCCATGAATATCTCCTTTCTGCACAGCGAATGCTTGCAGTAGACTGTTGAACAAAGGACATACAGAGCATTTTATTTCAGCATGCAATTATTCATCATAAATACAGCACAACTTCTTTCAGCCTATAAATTGTCTTAATATCTCTATCAAATAAGAATTAATACCTGTATTAACCTTTGAAATGGCATCTGTGACCTATAACACATATATCTCTAAGGATTTTAGATTGAATATATATATATATATATATATATATGACAATGCTTGCCTGGACTTTCTAATACACAAAAAATGACTGTCCATGTATTCATAGGGTATATCCACCCAGTGACTTGGCAAGGATTATCTGCTACAGAAAACAGAAGGATGGATGTGAGGATCAATAATTCTGACATGCGTTTACTGACCATTAGCTTCAGCTAGTGTGCCAAGAGTAAAGAGGGCCGTCTCCTTGACATCCGAATGAACAACACTGGATTTGGACAGATTATACAGAAATGTCACGCCACCTAGCTCTCTCAGCAAATCCACATTATCCTCTGAAAAGGAAGACAAAGTGAGGTAAAACAGTGGGGGGGGGGGGGGGGGGGGGGGGACAACAAAATTAAACATACTGAGGTCTAGATGTGGGTAATAAAACCATTTTGGATAATGAATGAATGCAACATGTTAACAGTCTGCCATTGTAGAACTATTTTAACCCAGAAGTAATCCAACAGATTGTTTGCTACCATGCCATGTAAATGGAGTTCAGATAAAGTATTCAATTCAACTTCTGTATAGTGCATTAACATACTTTTTATAAATGAGGATAACTTGATTCAATTTTTGGTGTTTTTTTTTATATACTTGTGTTGTTGTAATTCATAATAATTCAAACTGACAGATATCAACAACTGAAATATATCACTGGATTCCTCTTTTTGAATTGATTTTATTAAGATGCACCTTGTCAGGTCTAATCACCTAAAACATCAACAAACAAGGAAAGAAAAAGGCACCGAGACAATTAGTTTAGTTTTACTCGTGAGGAGAGTAGGAAGGGACCACACAGTACAGGTCTCCACCCCACTCTGCCGGTCTTCGGCTTTCTCCTCGCTATTTATTGAAGTCAGGGGATGTCCCTAATTACACAAGCTGAGGTTTTACTAAGGGCAAGGGAAACAAAATGAACTTACTTTAAACCTCAGCACATATGTTAAAACAAAGCATGTGGTTGTTTTACGATTAAATTCATTCCAAGAACACATGTTTAGAAGAAACATGCGATAGAGGATGTTAAGGCCTCTTTTACAACCCAACATGTGATAGAGGATGTTCAAGCCTCTTTCACAACCCGTCCGTTGCATGACCTTTATCTGGAACGATCTTAAACAATAGTTAATAAAAGATGAATCACACATTATACATCATAATAGTTCATTAGTACACAACTCATGAAACACAAACGGAGTATAAATAAAATATTTCTAACACACCTATATTTAGGAAGACTGTGCCATTGTTGTATAACTATTAAATTAATTAAGTTTAGTTTATGACTGGTGACATTTCTTTTATATGAGATGTTAGTTATACCTGTAAAGGTACCAAAACTGCAGGAAAATATGGAAGTATGTCTTAAAAAAAAAAGACTTCTCAAAATAATTTGTTTTATCTTATATTCTTATTATGATTCTTAAAGAAACAAGGACAAAACTAGCCTCTAGTTTTATTGTTACCTTTCTTTTCACAGATGGAGTGTATAGTGAGAAGTGCTTGCTTCTGTAAATCTGGACATTTCATCTGAAACTTTAGACATTCCAGCAGCAAAGTGAGATCCGTCTTTGTGGCTGAAGATGAGTAATTAGACATCAGAGAGATAAGCTAAACAAATACACATTTGGAGGAAGAATAAAAAAAAATATTATTTAAGATTATGTGCATTACTTACTGTTACGGTTGTTGCTCAAAAATCTCCTTTCCATTTTACTTTTTCAGTTATGAAACGGACACAGCTGGTTTTCTCTATTTTTTCATAGTTTCACAACGTCTAACCTGTGGCTACAAATATATAAAAAAAAAAAAAAAACGCGAACTAGACACATTAGACGGTAAATAACCCAAAACTAAGATGTAAAGACGATTTTCTCCGAAGTATTATCTGTCTAATATCGCAACAACTCACTGAACGGTACTTAGTGCAGCGCAGCTTTGCTAACGTTCTATATGCTAGTTGGCAGGCGCGTGACGCGCATCTCCGCATTACCATAGAAACCCGAGGGGTACCTCCCCCCCATTGATTCTTCCAGAAATTGGTTTAAAATGAAAGAATACAATGATTCAATTCAATGATACAAATACATAAAGTGTTATTTGAAATTAGTGAATGTACTTTTTATTATATTTATTTATTTAATCAAATAATGTAAATCAAATTACTCAGGTGAACATATACAAGCTGGTAGACATTGTATGTGCAATACAAAGATATAATGTCTTTAAGGCTTTTGAATTTGTAGAATACTTTAAGGTGGACGAAAGAGAGGACAGCGCTTCTAATAAATGTCAAAAACAGCCTGCCATAATTCTTCCATAATGGTCCGCTAGAAATGTTTTCTGACAGATCCTTACGTCACACTTTGCGGGACCTCCTCCTCCTTATATTTTTTTGGCTAGTGTTGCATAGCTGTTGTATGTTAACGGACTTTGGTTCTTTTCCAGCAGTTATCCATGTAAGTGCTGTAAGTGCGGGATTTTATACATTTATGTAGCTTTTTTAAATGTGCGCGTTTACGACCTCGTCAAGAATCCTGGGTAATGTAGTGTTAGCTTTTACCAAATGTCAGCGGAGACATTAAGCTAGCATGCTATCAGCTGCAAACTCGGTAAATCTCCATAATGTAGACGTGTAATAATGCAATTTAATGTGTCCAGATGCCATCTTGGTTTGCTTTGGTTGCTGCTTTAAAGCTGACTTAGCAATGTAATGTAATGTTTGCTAGCATTTAGAGGGAAACAGAGAACTCTAATGCAGCATAACCTGAGAATGATCTGTGCTGGTATTGATTTGTTTGCTTTTCTTGCTCAGACTTAAGGGGAAAACTCACTCATAGAACCAGATCCGTAGCAGTAGCGATGTATGGACGTGTGTGCTCCAGCATTGTTCAGAGAGCTTCCAGCTGCAGGCTGATAGTTTTTCACACAGTCCCATTCCAGGTTAGTATCCTGATCAGACTGCTGCATTTTAAGTACTATTCACATTACATAATATTCATTTTTTTATGGGGTGTTTTGACTCACATTATAGCCTATTTATTATGTATAAATGTATTGATTGATAGATTTTTTTTTAACCTTACAGGCTGTCCATAATTGTCCTTTTTCATCCTGGAATCTGTCTGGAGTAGACTTGAAATTCTGCACTATTAAAGGATCTGTACTCTGGACTCAAAGCTGCCGTCATTTCTCAACACGACAGGATTTAGACTTCCAGCAGAGCCAGATGCAGATCAATAGCATTCTAAGAAGCAATGAACAGGTAATGAAAACCACCGAACACTCAGTTCTGCGCTGCAGTGACAATTATACATGCAAAAACGTGCTGTAGACAAGTCAGATATCTACAGCATGTCAAAAGGCAGCCCATTACTGGTTATGGTGTTATGGCTCTCCACCCAGGGAAGCATCACTTGTGGAGTACCTTAATCCTGAAACATTTTATTTATTTATTTTTTCTTAATGCTACTTTTAGAACGCACACCATAGAGGCAGCATAAAAGCACCTGCTGCTTCATTTTTTATGCTTGTACACTTTAAGGTCCGACGCGCCTCATGTGCATCTTTGACTCTCCTGAAGAGAGACCAGTAAAGTGTGTCCAGATGCGTCTAATGCTTCGGCTGCTACTGTGCTCAATGCCAGAGAGTGGCTTTGCTATATTTGCTGTTATAACTGAGTAAAAAGTAGTTTTTAATACATTTTTAAGTGAGAAAGCTCAACTTAAAGCTTCATCTGTTCATTCAGTTCATCAAGATTAAGATCCTGCCTTAAAATATTATTTCGCTGTTGGACCAACCCCAAACCCCTGTACACCTGCGGTGCAGTGTCACCGGAAATCCTCTTCAACAGCAGCCACTGGCCCGGTCGCCTCTTGGGGATTTTCCGCTGCTGTTCGTGGCGGCTGGAAGGAGATGTTAGCGGTTTCCATGTACATAATCCAAACTGCACGTACCAGAATAATAAAAACCTAACATATTTTGCTGGCAGATTCCAACATTTTATGTTAATTTAAGTGTTAATAAACTGTTTCAGGGGAGTGATATTAGTTCCCTGCATCAGTAGTGCTGTATCTGTCTCCCTGCCAGCTGCCAGATCAGCTTCTCTTATTGGTTGATGTGGCGTGTCGAACAGCAAAAGTTAAATTTTTTTCAACTCCAGCTGCAGCTGCTTGTGAAGCGCGCCAAAAGCTGCTCAGATGCGTCAAGAGGCACTGCTCCTGCTGCTCGAAACGCACTGCAGGACCTTTTGATGCGCCTCGATTTACGACAACCATTGACACTGCGTGTAAACCAGCTGCTTCTGCTGCTTTTGCAGCGTGCGGCCTGAACGTAGCATAAAAGTACTGTGGACAATGTTTTTTCAGCTTCGTGTTCCAGGATCGACTTTGTATTAGTTGCCTTGCATGTCAATCTGTGTGACATATTCACCTAATACATCAAATATAAATGATTAGGAGAAAGTTTTTCTGGATAATCTTTATCAGTTATTTATGGGACTTGTTCTCGGTGCTAAACATGTAACAACTTTCGCTGGCAAACAAAACATTTTCCAAAAATGTACAATTTCTGATAAGAAATGCACCGTTTGGTTTCAGACTGTTAATGTGCCAGAGTTTGATGGGAGGGTGCTCAGCGCAGTGAGAAAGTTTGAAAGCAACCAGCTTCCCGCAAACACTCCCAATGAGGACCGTCGTAGTTCAGCCACCTGTTTACAGGTATGCATCCACCACTTCTGTTTGTCTTTGTTTCCTCCATTTATAGAAATGTCTTTTTTTTTCTGTGATCCCCAGTCAAAGGGCATGCTGTTTGGAGTGTTTGATGGCCACGGGGGCTGGGCATGTGCCCAGGCTGTCAGTGAGCGTCTGCTCTACTATGCAGCAGTGGCAATGATGCCAAAGCAAACCCTGGAAGAGCTGGAGAGGTGCATGGAGAATGGCCGACCTGTTCCACCCATCTTACAATGGTATAAACATCATACGGATTTTAACTATCGCGAATCTGCCTCCCTGTACATAAACCACCTTAGAGTCTTCTGGCAGGAGCTATTGAACAACGAGGAGCATGACGAAGGCATGAGGTAAGTGTAAATGTTTGTTGTTCTAGCTTGCCTTTTCCTTGGCTTTTAACACAGTCTTAGATGTTGACTTTGTCTCACTGTATTTCTTTTATTATTTTATTATTGCTTTTTATTTTATTACTACTTTTATACACCACTTTATTTATTGTTTTTATGATTGATTGTATTTTATGATTGTGTATAGCACTTTGTTCCTTTTGGTTGTTGAAAGTGCTTTATAAATAAAAATTGTGTGGCATGGTACCCTAAACAACTATTCCTACTTCTAAAATAACATGAGACGTAATTAGAATAGTTATATTAATGCCATTTAGGGCTGAATCAGATTAATCGTGATTCATTTATTATTTATAACCGTCAAATAATTTAGTAATCCATTAATAGTTAACTGGAGTATAGAGACTCTAAAACATGCCTTTAGCTGACAGATCGACCCAACCAAAGCAGTTTTTATACCAAAATTGTAAAAAAAAAACATAAACCTTTAACATTGAAGTTGAAAAAACGTTTTTTTTACCATTGATATGCTCTATCCAGAAGGTGTTAAAGGGCACAGTTTTAGCTTCATTTGCATTAAATTTGGTGTATTTTTCAAGGAACCTTTTGCCATCTGATTATTTGACTGTTAATCGAAAAAAGAATCAACAGATCGATTAATTAGCAAAATAGTTGTTAGTTGCAGCTCTAATGCCATATATTACATCTTTCTTGTCATCATGGAAAAACTTTAGTGATCATCTTTGAGCCAGCCGATTGTCAGTGTGCAGCATCATGGTGGTGGTTGCTGCTGCACACTGACTATCAGCTGGCTTAACGAAGATTATAGAGTAAATCCCAGTCACTTTTGCACACTGCTATCTCTGTGAAAGCTGTTAACAGGGTTTAATTTTTTAAAACTTGAAGCTGCAGACGTCTTTTTCTACTGTGAAACTTAGTCACTATAATGTTATATAAATGCTCGGCATACAGTAGCAGCTTATTACACAGTGAATGTTGAATCAAACCAAAATCATCTATCTTTTTATTTAGCCCTCTGGATGCTCTGGACTGCGCTTTTAGACGTCTTGATGCTGATATATCTTTGGAGGCACAAGTTCCCCTTTCTAATGACCTCATGAAAAGCACAGCCATCCAGGTAACTTCAGTCTTTCACTTTAGTACTTTAGAGCTTATACAGTCATTATGGTACATGCAGAAGGAAAAAATCAATTTACCAACCAGACATCCGAACGACAAAGCTCTTCAGGATGCGTTCAGCCAATGTTTTAAAGTTCCTGTGGTGAAAACCAATAACCAGCTTATTGGTTTTGCATCCTCTACTATTTAACAGCTAAAATCAGACATTGGTAACCTTTTACCAAGTGTTCTAGAGACACAGAGGTTGTCTAACTTTCACTTTACCTTCCAGGTTGCATTTGCTGGATGCACTGCTTGTGTCGCTCATGTTGGCACCGATGGGATCCACGTTGCAAATGCAGGAGACTGCCGGGCAGTTTTGGGGGTTCAAAACAATGACGGGTCATGGAGCGCTGTGCCTCTTTCTAAAGACCACAACTCACAGAACCTCAGTGAGCTGGAACGGATTAGAGCTCAGCATCCACCTACGGAGAGAGACACGGTGGTCACAGATGACCGACTGCTTGGGGTGAGATACGGTCTCACTGAACAAATATAAAAAAAAATAATCTTTTTGATGATATAAGGGTAATTTTTTTTCTTCTATCTTACTTTCAGGTTCTCATGCCTTTACGTGCCTTTGGGGATGTGAGATTCAAATGGAGCCTCGAGCTGCAGCAGAGCATTTTAGCCGGTCTTGAATCTGGAGTGGACCTGGACTCTCTGAACTTGTATCAGTACACACCCCCCAACTACTTAACCCCGCCATACCTGGAGGGGACACCTGAGATAACCTATCACAAGTTAAGACCCCAGGACCGCTTCCTGATCCTCGGCACAGATGGGCTATGGGACGAATTCACAAGTGAGGAGGCGGTGCGACTGGTTGGAGAGCATCTGAGCGGAATTTATTTACAGGTCTGTTTAGAGCAACTCCTGAAGAAACTAACTTTACATTACGAAATCTGTTACTTTTGTGTTGTATCTTGATTCCATATATTTTCCTTTTAGATTATAATTAACAGAAGATGTCATCTCTAAGTTCATCACAAGATAAACACGTCCAGTTCAGATCCAGCATTCAATGTGGTCCAGTTTTAAAATGATCAAATAATTCCAGTGCAGTCTAGTAGTATACAATGCTATAAAAAGGTATAAATTATTTAGAGACAGCCGCTAAACCAGCCTGGCCATTTATTGAACAATTTCTAAGGTTTTAGGACTCCAGCAAACCAAAGTGAAACTGAAACCAGTCCAGGAGAGGCTGGCTCACCAGTATGGTTCCACGTGGGGGTTGACTGGTGGCCGAATCGAAACAATTTTTTTACTTCCTTAGATTACATTTGTAACATAAAACATTTCTTTAATGATATGAAACAGTTTTGAGTAAGAAAATAGGACTGTAAGGAGCAAACACATTTTCATAGGAAAAAAAAGATTTGGTTCCAGATACATCAATCTCATTTTAATTTTTAATTTCTGTTGCTCTTTTAACTTGTAAATAGATTTAAAACTAAATGAGACAAACCAAAAGCTTTGAATTCCATGTATGGGTTCATTCTTTGATTTTCTGTTTTAAAATAAAACTAGAAGAAACTAATAATCCTCTTGAGCTTGAGTGCAGCCCTCGCCAGTATCTAAAGCAATCAGTCATCCAGGTCATAGTCATTCCAAAAAAAGTTAAAAAAAACAAACCTCTGGGCTTAGTTTTCCAAGTTTGCGTTTTGCTTTTCATCCAGGAAGCTTTTTCAATTCAATGTGATGGACTTGATATTACATCTGCTGTTGGTTGTACTCAAAAAAAATATGGGAAGCGAAACGTCTTTAAACTTCGAAAGCAAAGTCCAGTGGGGTTTTTTACTTTTTTTTTATTTCTGGAGTCTTCCAGCTGAAGTGAGATCAATAATTTCCCAAAAAGTGATCAGCACTGGCTCTGTCTAATAGCTGCATTGGGATCTGATGGCATCTACCATCGTTTTTTTTTTTTAAACCACACGAATGCTAGGATTTTTCATCTAAAAAAATTCCCTATTTAATTATCCTTACCCTAAAACTAGTTTTATGTTTATTTTCCAAACCAGATGTCGGTTGGTTTTTAGTAGGGAGACAAGCCTCTACTAAATATTGTTTGATTGGCTGAATTTTAACATCCTAACCTCACAACTATTGCTGCATATTAATTAATAAATTAATTATTATATAGCTCAAAGAAAAATAAAAAACTGGATTTTTTTATAAGCGCTTTATCAAATTATTGTATTTAGGTTTTTAACGGAAAAAAAACTAGTGGATGGTCACAATTTCCTCCAACGTAATGCTAAAAATACAAAATTTCATGTTTTTGATAGCAGAACTTTAAGATTGAAAATCAGCTTAACTGTCATTAATAGGGCTGTATATTAGAGCGGGAAGATTTTCAGGAAATCAGCCTAATAACACCGGGAAATGTTGCTAAATTCAGCTGTTTGTGGCAGATTGTAATCAAAGACTTTACATTTGCTTTGTTTCACATTTGCTTTTAACAGTTTCTTCATTAATGCATGAATTTGACTTTTTTTTTTAAATATTCTTGATTCTTCTACCTCTTTTTGATTAGGCACCAGTTTCTCCCACAGAGAGGAAGCTGAAGCTGGGTCAGATGCATGAACTCTTGTTAAAGCGCCGCGCCCGTGCCTCTCCAGCGCTGGATACCAACGCTGCTACTCATCTCATCCGACACGCTCTTGGAACTGGGGAGTATGGGGAGCTGTCACAGGAGAGGCTGGCCTCAATGCTGGCCTTGCCAGAGGACCTAGCCAGAATGTATAGAGACGATATTACGGTTACTGTCGTGTATTTGAACTACGATCTAGCTAGACCCCAACACAGTTAGCAGACTGAGAGAAACCTCCACAGAATTACGCTTGGTCACGTTCAGTCAGTATTTTACGAAGGCCGGTGTTCTGGCCAAAGTACATAAACTGTTTTACAAATAAAGTGATACGATCTTTTTCAATGTTATATCATGTTCAGCTGTTACCTTAGAAAAAACAAGAGAGTCTAGCTGCAGACTTGCACTGTCAGGACCCTGCACTGTCAGGACCCTGCACTGTCAGGACCCTGTACTGTCAGGACCCTGCACTGTCAGGGACCCTGCATTGTCAGGACCCTGCACTGTCAGGGACCCTGCGCTGTCAGGGACCCTGCACTGTCAGGGACCCTGCGCTGTGAGGGACCCTGCACTGTCAGGGACCCTGCACTGTCAGGGACCCTGCACTGTCAGGGACCCTGCACTGTCAGGACCCTGCACTGTTAGAACCGGAAGTTTATTTGAAGCCTTCCAAAGTAAAATAAAGCTATTATGCCAGAAATATTTTATGTTCCCGTGCTTATGTTTCTGGGTCTTCATAATAGAAATATGTTTGTCTATTCATGTCTTTAATTGTGTGTGTTTATTTATATATATATATATATATATATATATATATATATATATATATATACACACACACATTGAATAAGGTTTAAAAATGCAACAAAATATAAAAATAGCCAAATTAACACACTAATTTTATTAAGACATCTGTTGTGTGTTTGCAAGTATAATATTATATATTCTTTATTATTGTTTGTGCTGTGTTCTTACATTTGGTTTTGGGCCACAGATTTGCAAATGGAGGGTGTGTGCTTTCAAATTAACTTTGCTTCGTGTTCTCACTGTGAATTACTGAAATCCTAGAAGCTTCTGTTGTTTTCCCATGACACCGGAGAAAACAATAGATACAGAACAAACTTTAAAATTTCTTTATATTTTGTTTTATTGGAAGTGTTTTTTATTGTCGAAACAGCAGATTTCACAGTGAGACATGCAGCGTTTAACTTTTGGCGAAGTTCCAGCGGGAGTCACAATTGAAACATCCTTCTGTAAGAGACACATCATGCTGTAATAAGTAAAAAAAATAATCCATAAATTATGTGATAAAATGTGATTTTCTAGGTCTTTGGTTTGGGAAAGTAGGGAAAAGGCAGATTTAAGTGCACACTTACCCCGCAAAGAAAAAAAAAAGTCTTCTAATAAAATCCAGCAGCACATATGTGCTACATGCTTCTGGTCCTGACAGTGCAGGAGACCCCATTGTGCAGGTAGGGAGAAAATACTGTTAATTACCTTTAATCTCGGTTGAATATGTGAATTCCTCATGAACCTATTTTTGGAGAAAATAGTTTCACGTTAGAAAAGCAACATTGTTTGTTAATGTGATGATTCATACTGATGCACTTTGACCTTTGTCAGTATTCCTTTCTATGTCCTGCACAGATAATCCAACTTTGCCTTTTTTTTTTTCTTGTTCACTTTATATTTATGTAATCTAAGATGTTTACGTTTAAATTTCTAATAAAATTTTGATCTAATCAACTTTAGATGTTTTAGACGTTCATGCCCCAATGGGAAAGACGAATACTTTGTAAATAAAGAAGTGACAGAAAAACCATGTTGTTTTTATTATATATTGTTGCCTCCATGCTCTGATATTTCAGGCTGGACAGAGGAGTCTTTTCAAAGTTGTCACAATAAACTACTAATGTATGTTAACAGATGAGAGTCATGGGAGCCAATCCTTCACTGTTTTGTAAACATGAGTGTTTGTCCTCAGTGTTGGAAGTTCGTCCAGACTAGTCTGATTATTTTGCAAATAATAAATGGTAAATATCAATTTAGTTTATTACTGTCACTAAAACACTTTATGTGAAAGTGTTTGTTTTTTTCTTATAAGCATCTTTGAGAAAGATTATACGTTTTGGAATAGTTACTGTAAGAGGAAAGCACTGTATCGAGAACCAGACCTCTGCAGCAAAACCGGCATCCATCACTAACTTCTGTATTCAACCGTTTCGTCCCTTATGAAGACACCTTAAACTCAGCATTTCTGCTGTCAAACAGTAAACACAGGGGTGGTGCAGCTGCATGCAGTTTGATTCTACAGTAACAGCACAACAGCCTGGTGAAGAAATGAAAGACTTAACTAAAAGAAGGATTTTTAGAGGGATCCTTACACTCTGTGTACTTCAGGTAAGTTTTTATTTTATTGAGTTTACTTTTGTTTTTATAAAGTATTTCTTAAAGGTCTTTCTGTTTAAATTAGAAAATCTTATTTACTATTAAATAACTTTCCCCGTTAAAACTACTTTTTTGCCTTGAAAAAGTAGTTGCGTCTTTGCATAATTAATTCCCCCTATCTGCTATCTTACAATCTTTCTGTTTTAATATGGTACTAAGAAAACCGGGGGAAACAAAAATTTACTTTTTCAAATAGCATTGGATTTATTTAGGAAAAAAGCTTTTTAAACCAACATGGCCAGATGTCAAGATCTCCCATTTTTTTTTTCCTCAGCAGTTATTGACACCCACCAAAAAGCAGTTTAAGCCACATGAGGTCACTGCTATGAATGCTGGACGTTCACAGCGCTCTGTAACAAAACATATCAACTAAAAGTCTAGAGGAAGGAAAAGTGTGACCACAGAGCAGAGGCAGAAGGGATAATTCAGTCCCTGAGACAGTTCAGAAGTAACCGTTTAAAAGGCAACATAATGACATAAAATGGTATAACAGTGGAAATACAAAAAAAAACCCAGAGAACTGGGTTTAACAGCGCCGAAAGAAACAAGCTCTGTAACGGAAGGATCTAATAGAGAGCAATAAAACAACAGGAGCTTATATACTGAGGCAGAGCTGAAGAAATTACAACCAAACAGGTGGGAACAATCAGGTGAGATAAATGAAAGCAGGAGAGACTGTTGGAGGAGAGAAATAAACAGGAACAGAAGTACAGGGAGGACTCCACAAAAAGAAGGATAAATAAAATTAAATACAACACCAGATTAAACAGATTATTATCACAAATAAATGAACTAGCAGAACAGACATAAAAGATGCTTGAGAACAAACACACCTAGGAATCCATATCCAAACTCAGACAAAACTGTAGATCAGAGGTTTCCAGAGTTACCAACTCACTGATCCATCTATCTGCCCACATAACTGTGAAATGTTTGCTCCACAGAGTTTGGATTCTCTAGTGACTGCAAAGACACTACTGGGGTCCTTGGGCAAGATTCACAATCATACTAATCCAGGGATTCCAGATGGGAGCTACCTTGAGGTATATTTAAAAGCATTGAAAAATGGATCTAATGCAGTAGTGTAACAGCATGCTGATTCACACAGGAGGATGCTGTCCCCTTTCTCCAGCTGCCCTGGCGTCCACCGATTGCAGGCGGTCTGAACCGGATGAAGAGGGAGTGGGTTATTCCTCACATCAACTTTGCAGAAAACGACCGGGGTCCATACCCCAAATATATGGTGGAGGTAAGAGGGTTCGCTTGCAAACCTAACTGCCATCAATGCACGTTACAGGCCTCTTTCAATGTTTATTATGTTTTTATTTCAAAAAGATCAAGTCCAGCAAAGCCAGAAAAGTAGCCATAAATTATAAGATCACCGGCCCGGGAGCAGATGAGCCCCCTGAGGGTATCTTTACCATTGATGAACGGTCTGGTGCGATGTATGTGACCCAGGCACTCGACAGGGAGAAAAAAGCCAGATACAAAGTGAGTCACAAACATTCATCTCATGTTTTATAATTTCTCATGCAAGACTGGTGACACTGAGCAGATGAAATCCTTGTGGACTTATTCTTTTACAGCTCTGGGCTCATGCCTTGTTAGAGAAAGAGAATGCAGAGCAGCCCATGGAGCTCATCATCAATGTTATTGACCAAAATGACAACTCCCCAGAATTCAACACAAGCGTCCTCACTGGCAGAGTGAGCGAAAGTGCAGACGTTGGTGAGGAAACGATACGGAAAACTCAGATATCATAACCATGAATGTTCATTTAGAGAAATGAAACTCTACTTCTTCAACAGATGAACCTGTCTTAAAGGTAACAGCAGAAGATAAGGATGATCCAACAACAAAAAATGCCATAATTAGATATCGAATAAAATCTCAAACGCCTGCAATGCCCAAAGAGGAAATGTTTGCCATAAATGCAGTGAGTGGAGTGGTCCGTCTGAAGGAGCGAGGACTAGACAGAGAGGTGAAACAACTGTCTATGTGAGCATCTCGCCTTCATTTTCCCCCAAACTTTATTGTAAGTCTACAATATTCCTCCAGACTCACCCAGAATACAAGCTGATCATACAAGCTGCAGATATGGAGGGGGAAGGGCGGACTGCAACCTGCACTGCTGTCATTATCATCACTGACAGCAACGATAATGCTCCAAAATTTACCGAATCATCTGTGAGTGGCACAAAAAAAAAAACTCTAGGAAAAAACTGATTAGTTTAGTTGTTGAATGAATTTGGAGAGTTGTTTGCTTTTCCTCAGATGACCACATCAGTCTATGAAAACACAGTAGGAGTGGAGGTAGCAAGGCTGAAGGTCACTGACATGGATGAGGCAGGATCTCCAAATTCCAACACCAAATACTCCATCATCAAAGGCAATGAAGGTGGAGCCTTTAACATCACTGTTGGCCCAAATAAGATGGAGGGAATAATCACTACTGCCAAGGTTCAAACATACCCTTCAAGATTTCATAAAGCGTCTTTCAAACATCATATCTATTTATTTTTTCCTCTTTATTTCCAAGGAGCTGGATTTTGAGGGACTATCTGTTTACAAGCTGTTGGTGGTGGTGACAAATGAGGCACCATTTTCTCTCCCTGTCCCCACTGCAACAGCCACCGTCACAGTGAATGTCATTGACAGGAACGAGGCTCCTGTTTTCGGCCCAGCTGAGGTGCAGGTAACACTCTCGGAGGACATGAAAACTGACACTTCTGTGGTCGAACTCAAAGCTAAGGACCCAGATACGGCCAGAAAACAGCAAGTAAGGTAATTCAAACACAAACCGTTCTACCACAGGTGATTTTATAATGCCACAACAATTTAAATGGGAACATTTTGTTGATTTTAATCTTAAAAAATTGGGAAGTGGAATAAAAGCCTAATCAAATCCCATTATTAGACCCATCAAGACTTGAGTTATGAGTTTTTTTAATGTTTTTTTTGTGTAAAAGAAACAAACTAGGAAAATGCCATTCTATTACTATTTGAGCATGTCCGACAATATGTGGGAATTTGT